GGGGTGTTGGGGGTGGGGGGGGGGGGGGGGGAGGGGAAGAAGCTAAGAAAACTCTGCTTTTGGTCCACCTGGGTTGCCTGGAAACACTGCTGTCAAATCAACTGCCCCCTTAAGAGTTCCGTATAGAGGCTTTCCTTACTTTGTAGTTATACTTTAGCACCCAAGAGAGAGTTTCTTGCATGATACATCTCTTGGAAGTACAGCAACATTGAGACTGTTGTTCCCTTAGGTTTCTCTCTCTATTCTTTACATTGTTATCCTTTGGCTTTTGGCAGGAGCCTCTTGCATCTGTCACAAGTCTGCCTTCCATGTTCCAAGGACTTGGTGTTGAGACAATCCCAAGATCAGCCATGGGACAGACAGTTCTCCCTTGGGGTAAGTTATCTCAGTCTTCTACAAGTTTCTCTTCTGTTCCTGTAAAGGCTGCTTTGGGGTGTAGTATTTTAACCTCCCTGCTATGTTGGGAGGTTTCTTCAGGCACGTTTTGAATCTGTCCGTTTAGGTCGAGGCATCCTGGGCAGGGGAATGGGTGATATGGAGGTCAAACCTAAAGCCGTCATGCCACTGCGACCCAGCTTTCCGTCACCAAATGTAATGCCAGCTGGGGACAGCAAGGTGGAGAGAATGCCGCTTGCTCCTGGCACGTGAGTAAAACGTGGGTCTGAGCCAAACCCTTGGTTCAGAAAGAGCTATGCGTGTGATGCTTAGTTGGCAGAAGCTTTTACCTAGCAGTGAGCTAGGCTGGCGTGCTGCAGGTGTGCAGTGTATGTAGTAGGAATAGTAAAATGTAAGTAATTAACCGTGTAACTGTGGAAAATTGCAGAGGTTACATGAAGGTGGCAGTTGGCTCCCTGCGAGCTGGTGCATGCAGGGAGTTGGCTTTAAAGCCAGCTTCCTGCATGTACTGGCTCCCCCCTCCCGCCCACACACATCTGCATTGCTGATTCAGCTGCAGTAGCGCGGGGTGGGCAGGCAGCTCCTCATGTACCCATGTGCTCATCGCTTAACTGTGTACAGTTATACTCTCACATCCATGGACATCACAGATAATGGAGATGGCTTAATGAGCTAAACATCAGGCTTGACATATGAATGCTCCTTAGCAGCAAAGGTTGAATCCTGGCAAAATTGACTCAATCTCTTATTTTGCCAGGGCAGGTAGATCGAGTGATGTTGTTTGCCACGTGGTGGGTAGGGATGCTAGTGACTAGTCGACTATCTGATAAGCAAACTGGACAAGTCACTTCCCCCACGCGCGCACACACGCACGTATGCACGCATGTGCGGGAGGAGCAGGAACTGGTTCCCCCCATCACTGGCTCTGCTGGGGGCAGGAGAGGCAGAGGCACAGTGGGGAAACGGTGCTTGTGGTTCCCACAGCCTGTGCTGCTGCTTTTGAAATGTACAAGAGCCCTCTGGGGCTCTTGTACATTTCAAAAGCAGAAGTGCTGCAGGGAACATGGGGTGAGGGGGAACTCAAGCAGTCCCTGCTCACCCATGCTCTTCCCCCCATCACTGGCTCTGCTGGGGGCAGGAGAGGCAGAGGCACAGTGGGGAAACGGTGCTTGTGGTTCCCACAGCCTGTGCTGCTGCTTTTGAAATGTACAAGAGCCCTCTGGGGCTCTTGTACATTTCAAAAGCAGAAGTGCTGCAGGGAACATGGGGTGAGGGGGAACTCAAGCAGTCCCTGCTCACCCATGCTCTTTGCAGTACCCCTTCTCCCCCCCCCGCACAAGGGAGGGGACAGGAGCCAGTGCTGGGGGGAGCCAGCTGAAAAACAGCCCCTGCCTGTGGCCAGCCCTGGCTGCTGAAAACAGGGGCTGCTGGGGAGCAGGGTTGGAGAAAGGGTCAGTGATCTGCTATATATTGTAAAGATTTGTGTCTGTGTGTGTCTCTGCCCCCCAGCTGGGGGACAGGCGCCCCTCCTCCAGCTGTGTCCGCTGTAGCAGCCATGGACAGGCGCTTCTCATCCGGTCCCAAGCTGGGGTGGTTCTCTCTCCCTGGGGCAGCCTATATACTCAACCCCTCTCCCCCAGCCCCACCCCAGAAAAACTATTTCAATTAAGAAAAAGAAAACCGATTTGAGTTAAGGACCGGAGCAACGCCAGGTAAATCCAGTACAAATTACAAATAAGAATGTAACCGTGGGGAAGGCGTAGGTGGAACTTTTTAACAGCACTCGTCCATCTACAATGTCTGTGCCTCTCTCCTAAAACTCCCTGTGAAAGAACGAGGTGTCACGGGCATGCTACTTTTGAAGGGTTTGGGCTCTTGAACGGGGATACTGGGGAGCTCTTGGGGTCTAAAGACATAGCTGTGCCATTTGGTGAAGGACAAATCTGAAGAAAGAACAGATGCAGCTCGCAGATGTGTGATGAGTCTGGCAGCAGTCTGGTTCTTGGATGGATGTCATTGCGTGTGAATCTTGGTTTTCAACAAGCTTCAGCCTCAAAACTGAAGGAGTGAAGTAAAAACCGATCAAAATGTGTGTTAAACATAACCTGCGTCCACACCAGTCAAGTAATCTCCATTATAATGCGGGGAGGGGGAGGGGGCCTAAAGCAGGGGAAGGATTAATATCTTTCCTTTTCATTCTTGCCTCTGGATTCAGAATTCTTGGCCGTGGGCTAATGGAATCGCCACCAGTCCCTCTTGGAAGAACAGCCATTCCGCTTGGCAGGATGTTGTACAAAGCTCCTACGGACTCGCCTTTCCTGCGCCCAGCCATGCTTCCGCCTCCACCCTCACCACCACTGCTGTCAGCCCCCCAGGTTACACCCCAGCCAGAAAGTCCTCCACCGCCCCTTGTTGAACAGATGGAGAGAAAGTAAGTGAGCAACTTGCCATACCCATTGCTAGACCTCTCTTCAATCAGCGGGGACGTAGATACCGTAAGTGGCTACTGTAGCCATGTGTGCTCTAGAAAACCATAAAGTAAACCTGCAGTTCAGTGGTCTGGCTTGGCACCTGTCGGGCTCATTGCTGCAGATTCTTGTATGCTATTGGGGGGAGAGGATGCAAATATCTACCCCTCATATTGTGCATCGATCTCTTCTGAGCTGTGGCTTTGGTCTTGGGTTAACAAAGAAGTAGGACCCGGTGCAGAGTGGAAACCACAGAGGAAGAGCAAAATTCTGTGAGGGGAGGATTTCTTAGGTGCCATGAAAACACTTGGGCTCACTTCAGCATCGCAGCAGAAGTTCTTTGAAACGCAGCCTGTGTAAGGCTTTTTGCAGCTGCTGTCTTACACTAATTTGCTGATTGTACAGCAGGGGGAGCCATGTTGAATATATTGTAAAATAGACCAGCTATCTGGCTCCCTGACTTATTTTCGGACGAGTAACATGGGTCATGCTGCAAAGGGAGGGGACAATGCTAGTGACCTTCAGGAAGACCCTTCCAAATTCTACACAAACTTCACACAGTCTGAATCAACAGTGTTGCAAAGCCAAGCTGGAACTTATCTCTTAAAATTAATATTTTTTTAAACAGACAGTGTGATAAGAACACACGTAGTCACTCATTCTGTGCATTAGTTTGCCCATCTGTAAAATGGATGCAATATTTCCTGCCTTACAGTGGAGGGTGGGAGTTGAACATTTATAAACGGCTTTGAGCTGTGCATGTGGAAAGTATTCATGAGATGTTCTCAGTGCCTACTAACTGTTACACAGGTGTAAAGTATAGAAGAGGTCAAGGAGTGGTGTTGACGCACTTAGACTTTTTTTTTTTCACCAAATCCTCAGCTAATGCTGTCATCCTGTTTTGCCTCTTCGCATAGAGAAGCTATTGTATGGCCTTTGTCTTCCTTCCTTTTGTATTTTTACAGAGAACCGGTAATGAAGCAAGGATCCAAAGGAACAGCTTTTCCCTTAGGATTGAATCTAATTAAAATACACTGCAAAAATGAAGCTGTTTACCAATACCATGTGACTTTCAGGTAGTGGCGCTTTGCACAGTTCAACTTGTATCTCAATTTATAGTGAGATTTGTAGCGGTGTTGAAATAAGCAGTGGGATTAATGTGACATCCATGAACTTGCTTCTCAGAATTTTTTTAAGCAATTCCTGTGGAGATTTGGAGGACAGAGTGCCCAGGGAAAACATTATTAATTTAAAATTTCACAAATCCTGAAATTAAGCATTGGGGAAGATACTGCCCTCTGCACATCTGGATTTAATTAGAGGAGTGTATGGTAACAGTTCTTTCAGAATCCTTTTGGTGGTCACACAACTATCCTGCAGGTGTGACACAATACAAACTCTTTTTCTTGGCATAAAGCAGGGGTTTTCAAACGACGGGTCGTGATCCAAGACTGGGTCGCAGAATGTAAGGCCCTGAGTCTCGTGGATGCAGGGGGATGGAGGTGAGCAGTGGGGGAAGCTAAGGCAGGTCCCAGCCAGTCCTGGCATTGCAGACTGTGCTGCGCCTCAGAAGCAGCTGGCAGCAGGCTCAGCACCTAGATGGACGGAGGACGGAGAGAACGCTCAGGGCTCTGTGCACTGCCCCTGCCCCGAGCACTAGCTCCTCACTCCCATTGGCGGGGAACCTGCTGCTGGCCGCTTCTGGGGCGCAGCCTGGTCTGTGGTGCTAGGAGAGGCAGAAAGCTGCCTTAGCCCCCTCTCTCTCCTCTTCCCCCCACTCCCACTGCACCATTGACCAGGAACCCCTCAAGCCCCTCCTGCCCCAGCTGTGACCTTCCCTCCATTCCCCCACATCTGGAGCATCCTCCTACACCCCACCTCAGCCCCACCCTGGAACCCGCACTCCAGTCAAATCATGTTGGGTCGCAGCATCTACCCTTTTCTTTAACGGGGTCATGAGAAAATAAGCGTGAAACCCGCTGGCATAAAGCATTAAGATCCTACCGTGAGTGTTAATAGATACTCGGGAATAGCCACTAGGTGGGGCGAGTCACAATATTACGTGCTATTGTAAGTCTTCATGGCAATAAGACACAATCCTTACCCTGTGGCATCTATGTCAATAGAGAGTTGATTTGAACTCTAGTTTTCTTCTTGTGCCTTGATATGAATCTGCACATGGCATTGACTTTTTTTTCTTCTATTGCGGCTTTATGGGCTCGTGTTTGGGTTCTGGCTGTGGCAGGATTGTGTGGTGTAATACTAGAGCCCTCTGAGAGCCTGTAATCATGACAGTAGCATAAATTAGAAATGGAATGCATAGTAAAAGGCTATTACAGACATTATAAAGCATTCTTCCCCCTCCCCCCTTCTCCTTTATTTCTTGATTTGCAGCCCTAATGTGGAATGCAAGAGTATGCGCTTTGGGATGATGAAGGAGCATAGGTCTGTGACAGGAGACGTTACTGCATTTGATGGCTCTATCCTCTACCTGCCTGTCAAGTTGCCTCAGGTAAGACGTGATACCGGTGCAGAAGATACACAGCCTGACTCTTGCATGGTGCCACATGGTTTCAGCTATTATAAGGGGCCAGATTATAACATTCCAGAACATGGCTTTTTTGAAATGTGCAAGTGAAACTTATAAGTAAAAAGTGCAGGTGTTTTATCCTGTGACTGGCATATCCTAAACCAGTCATTCTTAGGGCCCTGGTTGGATTTCCATAATCCACTGAATATCTGTGACATTCTTGTTAGCCTTGAAACAGCTGAGGACATCAATTGCTTTAAATGGCTTTTCTCCTTATTCCCAAGTAAAGAGAAGTGTATGTTCCCCATACGTTTCCGGGACGAGAGAGAGGAATCGTCTGCCACTTTAACAGATAGAGATTCGGAAAGGCACCTAGGATGTGTAACTGGTCAACTTGGAGCATATGGCAGGGGATTGTGACTTTGGTACCATTTTTTCTCCACTTTGTAGAGTGGCTGCACAATTGGCAGTTTGGGGGACGCAGGACTAGAATAGATGAGGGTCTGGCATGTTTAAATTGGTGTATTTTTAGCAGAGTGACATGCAGGAATTTTGCACAGTGCCTGTCGGCACTAACCTTTCAGGAACACAAAACTGATTCACCAGCAGGCAGTGTGCACAGAAATTTACCAATATAACTAGGTCTTGGAAGTTTCAAGACTGCATCCCTACATATCTCTGTGTCTAGTGGGTCAGAATAAAGATGAAGATGTGGACCCCCATCTGTCTCAGGGACTGGATGCGGGAGAAGGGGGCTGTGATTTTGCCAGCCATGCTTCAGGTGGAGTAACGTGCTGAAATCCAATACTTGCATCTCCCCAAAAAGTTGGCCTCCCTAGTGGGGATATTTTTGTACGGAGGAGCTCCTGCTTGGAAGATGCTGGATGCTCTCATGTGATGCAGAGATGAATCCTTTGGGGCAGCAGGAAGGGCATTCTCAGCTGCAAGGTGGCTCCAACGGGGGTTTCAATTTTAATGGTCTGAGTCGTTTCACTTCTTGCTGCTACTAAGATGCCTTCATCCCTGCACTAGACGGTTGAGCTGACGTGTCAGAGAAAGACGGATGGAGCGGAAATCAGCATAAAGCTGCAGATGACTAGAATTCTAGAGCCCAGCTCAGACCTGTGCATTCCGTTTTATAACGTGGTCTTCAGGAGGTGAGGAAAATTTGACTTGTCAGGATGCTTAACCTTTGACTTGTGTGTGTGTGTGGCTGCCAGCTAGTTGACAAGGCGTCCCAGCCGTGTAATGCCTGTGCTCCATTTTTACTCAAGTTTCTAAGCAGTTGCATCCATAGGTGACTTGTGACAACACACAGGAGGGGCACTGGTCCCCGTACTTGCACCAAAACTTTAATTGCTAAATGGGGTGCCCCCAAATGTCCCCCTATTCTTCTGGGTGGCCCTCCCTTTGCTAGTTGCCCTGGTCGCACCACTGATGCATAGGGGAGGAGGGGTTGTGGAGAGGGAATTCTTCAAAAAATATAAAGGGAAGAAGTTTGACTCTTCCAAGCTAGATTCGGGGATGAGGGAGGGAGCTACTGTACATATACCAGTACCCTATTGCTACAGAGTAATTTTTGCAGACACCTGCATTCTAATCTAAAATCTGTCTGCTTATCCTGAACCATGGTCGGTCACCTCATCAGCTGTTTAGGTACTTAGCCTAACCATCTGGCTTGCCTTATTATGAAAGCCAGAATCTCTTGCAAGAATTCACACACTTTGCATGTGTCATCTGGGACGTGGCAGGTTTCAGTCCTGTTTCAAACAAATCCAGGAGAGTCTTTCTTGTCTTGCATTAGAACATCTATTTTAGTTTTTACTGTACTGTATCGCTATACTCCATTTCCAGGGCATGGTGTATAGAGTTCATTCAGGCAGATTGACTTATAAGCAAATGTTCTTCCACTTTCTTTGCTTTGTTTTAAGGAACACTCATTTTTGGTAAGAGCTCTCTGATCCTGATCCTGCATGATTGTCATTGACTTCAGTGTGTGCAAGATCAAGACGGACGGAGAGCTGGAGAAATTAACTGTTAAACACAGGAGCAACCATTTTATTTTTTTTCCACACTGGGAGAGTGGTGAGACACAATACCAAGAACCATATTTTGGCTCATAGAGAAATCGAATGCATCTGTGTTTGTCCGATTACTTTATTTTTTCTTCCATGTTGAAGTTGCATAGGGTTTTGTTTTTTCCGGAAGGCTCTGTTTCTATTCTCCAATTTTCTTTGAGTTTTTCAAGCTCTTTAAAATGAGTAAAATATTTTTTATTTAAATGGTCAACATTGGTAACTTATGTTAATTTTTAAGATTTTTTTTGGTATTGGGTGTGGGAAAACTGTAAAAACCTAATGACTACAATGCTCTCACGAACACTTAAACAAGTCACTTAAGCTTTTGTGTTGGATTTCAACTTTTCTCTTCTACTGTGTTACAAACATTGCACCTTTGGGCCAGTTCAGGAGAACCCTGAAAGTGAAGCCAGCTAATCTGTTTTCATTGCCCTGGTTGTGAGAAATGCACAAGTAAAAGGCAGTTTATTGGTGAAATGTAGATTAGATTTTGAAATGGTTTCAATTTGAGGTCAATCCTTGAGGAGGCCATTTAGGGATCTGGGGCAAATCTGTCCGGGATGGGGCTTGGTCCTGCTGTGAGGGCAGGGGACTGGACTCGATGACCTCTCAAGGTCCCTTCCAGTTCTATGAGAGAGAGAGATATTTAATCTCAGGTGGTGGTAGATCCACAAACGTACAGACTAATCTGATAGTGTTTAAACAAATGAATACGACTTAAAAGGCTAGTTTTTCTGTGCACAAGCAATTCTAAAAGGGGACCTGCAAAGGGAGGGGAAATGTTTTTTGGGGGGGTTCTTGGAGAAGGGAATGCTTTGTTTGCTTTCTGATAAAAGCCTGAAGTTTGTTTATTTTTGTTTTCGGAAAAGATTTTATATTGGAAATTCAGGCCTTGTGTGCTCAGTCTTTACGGAACTGTTCTGCTTTACTGCTCTGTCTTCTGTGGGTAACTAGAGAACTCTTAGATTATGGTACAGCAGGAAATGAGACCTGAACCAGAGCAATGGAGAGATGGATTTTAATCTCTGTTCTTAAATTTCTTGTTGTTGTTGTTGTTGACACTTAGTTTAACTCAAACACCGACAAACTTGCTGTAGGAAAGAACTGTTCAAGATTCAGCAACTCTCCCCTCCCCATGTCCTCAGCTGAGGTCTGGGAACTTCAACAAAAACAGGAGAGATGGCATTCCCGGGATATTAAGCTAGAAAAACAAACCAGGAGGAAAAAGTTTAAAATCAAGTTGAAACCTGTTTCGGCTGTCATGCGTCAAAAGGGAAAAGGGCACGTACCTTAGATGGTCTTTCTCCTAGCAGACTATTACTTTCCTTTTTTAGTGCACAGAGGAGCCAATCCTACAAAATGCTGAGTTTTCTCCATTCGTATTGGCTCTGTTGTATGTTGAGGGTATGAAGCACCTCACAGATCAGATTCTTAAAAACTATTTTGTAGTGTCTCCCTAACGGTGTGAGCGATGCAATGCAACTTTAATGGTGACATTTATCTGCCCCCGCCCCCTGAATCTTGTAATTACCCTGCTTTTCTATTCTAGGGTGATGAGAATGTTAGATTTGAAACTTGTTGGGAGAAATTTCTATGACCCCACCAATCCTACAGTGCTGCAGCAGTATAGGTTAGTACTATTATTTGTCTCTGTGCTTATTGGCATGATCTCCAGGCATCTTGCAGTGCTGAGGGAGATGAGCCGGTCCTTTCAATATGTTAGTCTAAACAAGCTGCTGGTGGTGTGCAAATGTTTCACATTCTAACGGCCTGTTTTGCGGAGAGTAAGCCCTGTAGTTGTGGGCTGCTGGCCGGAATGGGTTGGGTAGGAGAGGACCTTGGCTTGATCCTGCCAATTAACCTGGCAAGGGGAGGATGCTGGACTTTGGAAATGTCCAGTCCATTATGTTCCACCAGGACAAAGAGAAAATCTCTCTGCTACTGGCTCCCAAGCCATTCACAGATGATTATTCGCACTGTGGTAGGGATGTGAACGACGAGTCGTTCCACCCCTTTGCTCCCTCTTTCTGATAGAGGCAGCAAGGGCGGGAGGAAGAGGAGGTGGTACCTCAAAGCGGCAGCTGAGTCCCCAGCTGACCCTGGACTCCATGCAACACTGCCACTTCCTAATGCTGCGGGGAGCACGGGGACGGTTTGAGTCCCCCAACCGGCCCCAGCTGTTGCTACACTTCAAAGGTGGAGGTGCCCTATCGAATAGTCGAAGCAAATTGCATCGACTATTCGATTAGCTGATTAAGCGAAATGTAGCATCCCTACACCGTGGTAGTACACAGAGGCTTCAGCCAGGATTGGGGCCCTGTTGTAATGATGGTCCGAAGACTACAGATTTCGAGGTAAATATGGTCCCTGCGGCTAAGTGCACTGTCTGTGCAAGCAAAAAGAAGCCAGCGGACAAAGTGAGAAGAGTGGTGGTTGACTCACATTTTGTCTCCCAGCTCCTTGTGAGCAAAAGGCAAGTCCCACGGCAGTCGTGCCATGCAGAACCCTTCGTTAATCTCTATCCTCCTTCAGGGCGCATAAGCCAGGATAATGGCGTCTGTCTCTTACTAGCGGCTAAACCACTCGCAGAGGTTTGAGGCTGATGCTGCCTCTGAGCGAATGGCTCCAGGCCTAGTTGGTGCTTTTGGATCTGGAGATCTCAGAGGTCAGCTTGTGCTATTGATTTGCGTGTATAGGCCTCTCGCCATTGTACCTGTGCACCTCCATTCTAGAAACTCAGCCCTTTGTCATGTGCCTTGTCTGAATTCTGAGGTGCCAGTTTGGTCGTTGTAACCTGAAAAAATCTGACATGCGGTTCAGAAACATTAGCTGAGATTCTAGCTGCTGGCTGTGTTAAATGTATTCCCTGTGCCACGCTTGCCTTGTGTTTGCTGTACAGTTTCACTGGCAGAACAGCTCAGATACTGGAGTTTTGGATGAGCACGCCGATACACAGGCAATCTGCTTTCCCACAGGTTGCAGATCTGGCCAGGTTACTCAGCCAGCATCCGGAGGACAGATGGAGGTCTCTTCCTGTTGGCAGACGTCTCCCACAAGGTTATCCGAAATGACTCTGTCCTGGATGTCATGTGAGTAAGAGAAGATGTGAGAATTAAACCTCTAGTGGGCTCAGGAAACAGGGATGGGGCTTACAAAGAACTGCTGTTTCCGTAAGTGTGCCATGAGGAGTAGTTCTCTGAAAGGGGGAATGTGGTGATCCCGTAGCGTTATCCTCTGAACCACCACAAAGCTTCAGGGAAGTGCAACTGAGTGGGGAGTCTAAGCATTGTTGTTTGAATCTTTTCTTTCACTGCAGAGCAGTTACAGCACAGATAGTGCAAGATTCCCCCATGCTGTCTCGTTAGTGCAATTTATCCACGACCTAGGGCAGGGGTGGGCAAGAGAGCCTCTGTGGGCCGGATCCAGCCCGTCAAGCAGTTTGATCTGGCCTATGAACACCCTGCTGCTCCCCCGCCCCAGGTCTGGGGAGTATGGAAGTTTCATGGCCCCGCCCCTTCTGGGTGCCCCCTTTGAAAATTATTGCCCACTTTGACCTAGGGAATCTTCTAATTGTAGTTCTTCCTTGTGTAAGAAGGTGGCTGAAATCTGAGGGCTTTTATCCATCCTTCTCCACAAAGGAATGCAATCTACCAGCAGAGCAGTGACAACTTTCAGGACGAGTGCACCAAGCATGTAATTGGCAATATCGTCATTACCCGCTATAATAATCACACGTACCTTATTGATGACATTGACTGGAACAAGACGCCGAAGGACAGTTTCACCATGTCAGATGGGACAGAGATCACCTTCCTGGACTATTACAGGTAGACGCTTCTGTACCGAGGGAGGTGGTGCGGGAAGAAGAAGAAATCTGATGGGTAACCAACGTTCAACAGCCAGGCTTAGCTTGGGCTCCATTCTGGAACATTGCCCGTACTTTAACTTTAATGCAGATGTAGTCCGAGCCCTGAGTGTCTCTTCTCTAGTTTTGTATGAGAGTCTCTTCCGCAAGCCGGGAGCTGAGCTGGTTGCCCTGGGATGAGGAAAGTGCTGCTTTAAAAAAATCTTCCCTGACTTCTTTTTCAGCAAAAATTATGGGATAACCGTCAGGGAGGCGGACCAGCCGCTGCTGATCCATAGACCCAGGGAAAAGCAGACTCCCCAAGGGAAGGTGAGTCGGTTTTGCAGCTGGAAAGCCTGGGTAGTGGGATTTTTCAGCACTCGATTCCCAGTGAACTGCTGGCAGCCTTGGTTTGTGAAGCTGTCTGCTCAAAGGCAACAGCTTCCCTTGTAGTCCACGTGCCATAATCCTGCCCTGGAGGGGGCCACTTCTAGGTGGCAGAGGGATTCTGTCCCCTTGTCCTAGCCGGCCTTTGACCTCTCTGCTGAGGGCATATAGTGCCCAATGTGGTGGCATCTTAGACACTCCCTCCCCCAGGTCCTCCCATCTAACCATCCAACCTGTTTGATAAGGCAGCGTTGGTCGCTGTGCTGAAAACGCCTCGTTGCCAGTCCTCTCAGCCAGCCGGCTCTCCGCC